AAATAAGGCCGCTAAGTTATAATAAATTGATTTAGCTACAAAATAGTGGCTTCCTTTTTAAAATATCTTTTTTAGATTAAAAGTTATTGGCTTTTAAAGTTTGTGTAGTCTTTAAGTATTGCGCACTATAGAATGAACAAATATGAGACAATTTGATTAGTCAATGTAAATCAAGAGATTGGTGAGAATTATCTAGCGTTTTGATTAGTTGTTCATTTCTCGGGGGAGCCTTCAGCTGAAGGGTGACGTTAACCAAAGAATCAACTTCGAACGGCCTAATGAAATCCTGGTTTAATATTCAAAAAAAGTATTGAGGCAGTTCAGTTTTTTTAAAGTATATGAGAGTTTATTGAATGTAGACATAAAATTAAATATGCATCTAAAGTAATTATTCTCTAAAATAACAAATTACTATTGGTTGATTGTATATATATAAAATAATCGAACTGGGCTGGGTCAGGTCGGGTCAGGTTTTGAACCCGATCTGACCTGTTATAAAATTTTTTATTAGGCTCGGGCCCGGGTTGGGTTTAAGCGGGCCCGGGTCGGGTTGAAGCAAACCTGACTCAACCTGGCCCGTCCTGCACTCTAACTGTGATCGATGCTATACCCCGCACATAGTGCACCCTGTATCAAATAAATATATCCTTTATATTAAATCCTTATATTTGTGTCTTTAACTCCAAGTATCTTGTGATTTATAAAGCTAATTTTAATGATCTAACTATTATTAGAACCAGAAAAATCTCTTTTACAACTTTATTTAGAAGTTCAACAGACCCTAACTTAATAAAAACTTCTTTAATTTTAAAAAAATTGATTTTTATACTAATATTACTGTAGTTCATAAATATGAGGCATGTTAGTTCGTATAATTATAGCTTATAAATATAAGGTATGTTAGTTCATATAATTATAGCTCATAAATATAAGGCATGTTGATTTGTATAATTATAGCTCATAAATATGAGGCATGTTAGTTTATATAATTATAGCTTATAAATATGAGGTATGTTAATTTGTATAATTATAGCTCATAAATAAGAGTCATGCTGATTCATATAAAATAGCTCATAAATATAAATATTCTGATCCATATAAAATAGCTTATAAATATGAGGTGTGTTGATTTGTAATTATAGCTCATAAATATGAAGCATTTAAAACTTATCTTACAAATCAAAGAAAAAACAAACAAAGTTTGATAGATATAATGTATATTAAACATCCCACACAAAATATTACACGCCCAATTCATAATATCAAATATTTAGGAACGTTAACCTTATATTGCTTAACAATTTATACTATGCAAAAATGCCCAATTCAAGAATATTCAATACAAGAATACTTAACTCAAGAATACCTATAAATGCTTAACTGAAAAATACTTAACTCATATATTCTGAAATATGCAGGTTTATTGACTAATTAGTTATTAAAAAGCTTTTTGTAAAACATTAACTTGTTTTTATGAGAAAAAAAAATATAAACTAATTGAAAAGTTGTTTGTTCTTAAAGCTAAAATTCAAACTGATTTTACAAGTGTCAAGCCTTTTTTTATCAGAACAAGTCAAGAAGTGTGACTAAAAGAAGAGAAAATAATACATTACAATGCTCAAAAAGTATATTATTACTAACACCAGAAATTTTTAAAACTTTCAGATTCAGATATTCGTTTAAATCATTAATAATTAATTCAACTGACTTATTTCGGATTAAATCAATATGTGTTAAATTTGAACTTTTTTTGATTATTATCTTCTTAATTATATCAAGGTCTAATTTGATTTCTTTGATATTACTTAGAAAATAATCAATCTTAAGACTATCAAATATAAAATCAGGATGTGAGATAGAAAATCAGTTAATTGTAGATTTTATATTGATTAAGTTCAATAAGAATTCTCTAAGATATTTATTATTGTGTTGTATATTTTTAAATATAATTACTTTAATAATGCAATCTAAATGAACCACAAATGGTCTGACCAAATAGATATCCATGTTAAATGTTATATTATTATAAATTAAAAAAAATTAAAAATACTTTTTTATTTCAAAAAAAAAATTAGTAATTTTTTTTATTATAAATACAAGTTCAAACATTGTATATTCTTTATATACTTTTAATTTAAAATTAATTTTTTTGGTATAAACGATATTAAGAGTTTAAAATTTGATAGAAGATTATTTAATTTAAGTAAATAAAATAAAGTTGACTAAATAAATAGCTTAAAAGCTAGTGCTTAATATTAAAAAACCTAAAAGAGAATTGTATTTAAGGGTAGGGTATTTGTTTACTATTTGTTTGTGCATAGCATGAAAATAAACTAATCAAAATTTAATGATCTGCAAAATTAACCAATTATAATTGTATATTTGGTTGTACATGCATATTTATTTGTGTATTGTATGAAAAAAACATGTAAACAAATACCCTACCCTTAAAAATTCTTACTAGCAATCCTGACCAATGAAAAAATTTACAAAAATCTATCAATCATCAGCATTTTTCATTATTTCACCAATCATTTATCTATGATATGTCAATATTTTAAAGAATTACTTTTCAATATATAAATATTATCATTTATCCATGATATCAATATTATAGAGAATTACTTTTCTGTATATAAACATTATCAAATCATTTGGACCAAAAAGGTGTTAGTAATACTATCATTAAAAAAAAGAAACAATAATTATAAACTATTTATCGATTGTATTATTAACTGTACTTCAATTTCGTTAGTAATTTTCTAAATTCTCTATTTAAAAATCAATATTACAAGTATTCAGATATTCTTCGATGAAAAGAACCAATGGAAGATGAGTATTTGCCTTTAGAGCTAATTAAAGCTAGCATAGTATTAAGCCTATTATTTAGCCAATTTGATTACATAATTATGAGGTGGTAGCAAAATAAGATTTAAATTATATAAATAGTAATATTCTTGGTTTAACTTCTAATCATTATAGGTTTTGGTTAATATTGTAATTGCATATGAATGTTGAGATATTAATTACTATGACTATTAGAGAATAGGCAAGGTAATTATATGATTCTGGAGATACAATCAGTAACATATTTAAGGGTAGAGGTTATCTTTCTTTTACTATCATTCGCCTTGTTGTGAAGGCAGACTCTTATCGCAATAATTCGTGAACCAAAGACAAATAACACCCTTATTGATAAAATATTTGATAAAATATGAATTGTTTATTTGTAACGAAATAGACATTCTAGCGTTTAGATATAATTCGGCCTGGACCTTTTATTCTATTTTTTCAAGAGTAAGGAACTTCTTTTACACTATAGTCAGTAAATCCCCATAATTGATCATTAATTTCATTAATTTCTTCTAATAAGTTATACATTTCTGCAAATTTTTTCTTGATGTCATTATATTCTTCCAATTTATCTCTTGCTATATTTATATCTTGCTGAATTTTGAAGATTCTATTGTCTATTTGCTTATATTGATCACTTTCATTTTTGTAATCTAAGCTTTCGTATTGAACCTATAGGTCATGTAAATTTAAGAGATTTGAACTTTTAAAAATAATGTACTATTTTTTTATTATGTACCTTAATGGTTTCATATACTTCTAATAAGTTGGCAACCTTATTGTGCATTTCAGTATACAATATATTGAAGTCATTATATTTTTTCTTTATTTTATCTCTTATTATATTTGTGAGGATTCTATTGTCTATTTGCTCATCTTGATCACTTTCGTATTGAATCTATAGAAAGAAATAAGAAATCAAATTAATGTTGAAAATGTTGATTCATAAGTTTACATGAGGATTATTTGTAATTTTAAGTATCCAAGTCACTTTATCAAATTGACGATAAGATAACGTAAAGTGCTGTATTCTATTTATTTTATTGGATTGTTCTTCAGAATCGAGTAGAATACTGTCAACTGGGTTGCCAAAATAATTTATTGAATCTACTCTTTCTGTTGAAGTGGGACTTATAATATTATGATAAATATTTATTTTATAATTAGAATAAATTTTTGGAAAATTAATAATATTGCTAAACTGGTTTCTAAATTGATATAATTTTAGATTAAAGAATAAATTAAAATACAATTTAGTGGTAAAGATTGGGATTTGGGATTTATTTGAAACTTTATTAAAAGTATTGTCATAGGGTTCTTTTGATTTTATAAATTTTTTAATATTATTTTGACAGATTAAACTCTATATATCCCTTAAACTGTCTAGTGGACAAATTTGTCTGCTAAAATCATCTTTTATTCTGAATTCAACAATGATTTTCTCAGCGAAAAAAAGCTGAAGTGATTGTACTAAAAGTTGTTTTGATGACTATTCTATGCTGATTGCAGAATTATCATTTTGGTTGAAAAAATTAAAATGCATTGTTTTTTATTAACCAGATAAGATTCTTCATCGGTAAATGGTCTGCTTTTGTTTATTTCTCTATTATCAGAGTGAATAGATTCAGATTTTTAGATAGTTTTCTTAAATAATATAGAAAATCTGACAACAAGACTGGGAAATAACAAGTAAGGTAGAATCAAATTATTATTTTTCAATAGTAATATCAAAGATACGAAAATCAATATAGCAAAGATAAAAGAAATCAAAAAAATATGGTAAAAAATCAATGAAAACAAAATAACGGTAGTTGTATAAGCGATTCTTAGCAAAAGTGCTAAAAGCTTTAAAATATTTCTTGATATTTTGTAGTTTACGATCAAAAATTGATGAAAACTTGATTTTACGCATTTCTTTTAATAGCATTTTTCATAAATGAATTTGCTCAAATAAGGATAATTATCATTTATCTATTTTACAAACCATTAAAATAAAACTCTGAGTTCTGTATAATATATATTTTATTATAATAATTAATAATATTATAGTATAATATATAAAGCAGATCTGTTACACATTTAAAAAATTTTTCAGCTTTCTTCAATTCTTTGTTCATTGTTGTTCAAATAAGGAGATAATTGATTTATTTGCCGTAGTTATTGTATTATTCAAGTCTGTAAATATACAGTATTCTTTAGTATTCTTTGATAAGATTATAAATTAAAACCAGTTTATAATTTTATTGATAAAGTAAAAACTTTAATTTTTATATTATTATAATACAATATATAGATCGACATTATACTGTAAAGTAAACCAACAAGTTTATGACTAATAAATTAGCTTAACGTAGTAATATTTTTATTAAATATGTGATTCTAAAGCATCTTATATGAATATATTTTTGGGATTAATTCGTTATATATAAAATGTTAAAGTTGCACTATTCTAAATTCAATAAAATAAAAACTATCATTATCAATAAACTCAATAAAGTATTGAAGCCAATAATTAACTAATAATAGATCAACTTTTTCTAATTTTTTTAAAAGTCTTTTAATTTCTAAATATAATAACCTTAAATATCCTTTTACAGTAACTAATATTTCTTTATGAATCTTCTTATCAAATTTAATATCTAATACGTCCTATTTAGAAATAACATTACACTTTTTTTTGTTGTCTCCTCTTTTTTGTTTCTCAGTAATTTCCTCTTCAATACACTTTCTTTCACTATCTTTTTTCTTTAAAATCTTAGATTTTCTCTTCGTTATACTTTTCTTTAACAACTTATTTTTCTTGATTTCTTTGCCATTGAATTTTTTTTCGGTATCTTTTTTATTTAAAATCTTGGTTCCCACTTTATTACGCTTTTTTTTCATTTTCTTTTTCATTTAAAATTTTATTAATAGCATTGTTTTTAACTTGTTTATTTTTTTGTTCTTTTATAGCTAATATGACGGGGATAGATGAATTAGAAATATTTTTTGTTTCTTTATAGTTAATTTTATATTATTGAAAGAAGCAGATGATAATATAGAAGAAGTAGCAGATGATGAAGTTTTATTGTACAAGTAGTAACAAAAAGAAATACTTGAATACAAATAATAGATAAACAAAATAAGGATGAGAAAGCATAAAATTGCAAATAAAATTTTAAAGAAATCTATCTTGCGAATTTAATTTCTAAGCATATTTTGTCAAAACTTAAATACTTTCATAATGAATTCGAATCTGCACAGACTCTTCTTGTCGTATAATATAAAAACTTGTTTAATTTAAAAAAAAAGAGATCTTTACTTTTTATCAAGACCTGATTATTTGCAAATGCATTATCATGCAGCATTTTGAGGCTTAGTATGCATTATTAGAATATGTCAGTTCTATTATCTTACCCAATCCTAATTCAAATTATAAAAATTTATTTTTTATATAATAAATTCGGTCAAGAATATCAGATTTTATATGTTGATATTACCACGTGACTTAATATATAACTGTAATGCTTAATATACTGTATAAATTATTTGTAATAGTATAAAAACTGGTTTTTATAATAAAAAATATATGATCTATATTGAAATACCCGAACTATCTACTCATAATTCAAAATACACAAAATTGTTGTTATAGGCTAGCAAACTTGGCTTGGAACAAAATGTTGAAGAGGTGATATCCTATTTATGTTAAAGTCTACACAAACTGATTTTTAAGGTGTGTTAAGCAGGAATACAAAATCTTGATGAGAATATGCTAGCATATTATCTAGTTTTCATAATTGAGTTTAAAAATATGATTGGTTGTATGTAATGATTACTGATTATTTAGTTGCATGTGATGATCATTGATTGTTCGTAATCAGGAACCTGGAAAATTTTGGATTTTATTTAATTCATGTCGGGGATGATGCTAAAATCGGATGATGCTGAAATTTAGGGGCCTTAATTTGAAAATATAAATCCTACTAAAATCTACCTATACTCTTTTAT